GGCAAGAGCTCTACAGTTGGCTCTGCCATCAGCCTCTAAGTCTCGTCTCACTGGGGCTCTAGAATTTGCATTTTTAGCATGTTCTAAGTGATGCTGATGTTGCTGGCCAAGGAAACCCCACTCTGAGAATAAATGTTCATAGTCCCATCTATTCTTAACCCCCTGAACAGTTTATTTACAAACCAACCCAATGGTGCTGTCTTCCCTCCCCTGGCTCCTCTAGTTGTACAAAGGCAGTAGACCCTTTCAGGAGAGAGAGGTGAATCCCTGGAGATGTTAAGTCCTCAGATATTTCAGGGAGAGATCCAGTCATCTGCTAGTCAGAGATGAGCTCCTGTAGGTGAGGTATAGTCACCTGTTGTTCCAAGTAAACAGATAACAGAGCTGTGACTTTGAAGGCGAGACTAATCTTGTCGAGGGACTGGACCTAGGTTAGCTAGAAAAGACAGGTGACAGCTGGGCGTGGTGGCACACACCTTTAATCTCAGCACTCAGGAGGCAGAGGTAGGCAGATCTCTGTGAGATTAGGGCCATCCTGGTCTCCATAGTGAGTTCCAGGCCAGCTGGGGTTACAGGGAGACCTCTCAAAAAGAAAAAGAAGACAGGTGACTGTCTTCTTGTCAGAGTTGCTTCTTAACAAAACTGGAGTATTTGTTAACCCACAGGCCTGGAGTCTGCTGCTTATTAACATCTCAAAGGGGGAGAAACTTAGGTAAAAGAACTCAAAGGCCTTTAATCCTAGCACTTGGGAGGCAGAAGCAGGTGGATCTCTGTGAGTTCAAGGTCAGCCTGGTCTACATAGTGAGTTCCAGGCCAGCTGGGGCTACGGGGAGACCCTGTCTCAAAAAGACCAAAAAAAAAAAAAAAACTCAGCACTTTGGGCTAGGGGCTTTTGAGACTTAGGGAAAAGTCAGGCAATTTGGGTTAAGACAGAATTGTTCCTTTCAAGAGATTTTGGTTGTAGACTCTGTGGCTGGAGCTCAGTGGTAGAACACAGGTCCTGGGTCTGATCCCCAGCACCAAAACCCCCAAAACAAATCAGAAGACTTTGGGGCTTGACAGCTAATGTCCCAGGCTAAGTCCGGGTAGGGTGGGGTGGTATTTAACATGGCAGCCTTTCCTCCTGTGGGGCCAAGTGAAGCCCCATGCCCTCCACCCAAGCATCCTGGGTGAAACCCTGCCCTCTGCAACCCATCCTGGGTTAGACCAGACACCTAGGCTTCAGGACTTTTCTCACTCTACTCTGAAACTCACCTATATGCTTTCATTACTCCTTAACCTGGGTCAGTTTCATCAGACATTTTAAGATGCCTGGAGATAGTTGGTGAGTGCTGAAGATATCTAGTCTGTAGAGACCAGGGATACAGGAAGTATTTCTTGCTCCAAAAAGTCATCATGATGCTGTTGAGAAAACCTGCTTTAGAACAGTGATATTTATTTATTTTTATATTTTTATGTGGTCTATAGAGGTGACTGAACTCAGAGTTTTGGGTATGCTAGGTGAGTATTTTACCACTGAGTCCACAGTTGGGACTGGGGTTACAGGCTAGCATAAATATTACATCAGGGGGCCAGGAAAAAAATGACCTGAAAATCCAACTCCCTCACAATTCAGAGCACAAAGAAACCACCCAGTGAAAAAGAAGTTTGGCTGTTTAAGTGCCAGCAACATACATGTGAGAGACAGAAGTCATCAAGGGAAATTAACTGAAAACCAGAGATGGTGTTACTCATTTGGGAGCAGTCCATCTCTCCCAAAGTGAGGAGACAATTTGCACCCCCTGGAGATGTTTTATGCTTAAATCTTTATTCCCCAGGCTGGGGCTTCTATTCTCTTCAAGTCCTAAGTGATGCTGCCATTTCCTGCTAATGGCTCCTACCCGGATCCGTGAATAAGGACCTAGGAAGGACTGTAGGGGCTTAGGTTAGATAATAGCTCAAGTCTTTAGGACCTCATTCCTTCCAGTCATCACCAACTCAAGGACTGGGAGACTTTTAAAAGAGTAGTTTTGGGGTCAGCAAGATGGCTCATTGGGTAAAAGTGCTTACCATCAAGCTGGATTGACGACCTGAGTCTAATCCCAGGATCTACATGGTGGGAGAGAACCAACTCTCAAGTTGTCCTCTGACTGCCTCTTGTGTGTACCCACACATGTACACACAATAGAAATGTGTAAGAAAAAAAGTAAAAGTGCAGTGCTGGGCTGGTAAGTTGGCTCAGTGGGTAAAGGTGCTTGTTGCACAAGCCTGGTGACTCGTTTGATAGAGAATACCCACTCCACAAAGTTGTCCTCTGATTTCCACGCGAGCGCCATGGCAGGTGCTCACACACATGCATCATGCTTGCACAGACACTAACAATTATTTTTTAAAGTACAATGTCAAAACTGAAGTCCTTTATTCCAAGCCAATTAAGATCAGGTGGGTAGATGGAGCTGGACAAACAGGCTTGTGGATCTGGTGCTTATAAAGGATTAAAACAAAACTCACCACCAAATACATGCAGGCAAAATACTTATACACATAATTTTTTTTTTTTTGGTCTTTTTGAGACAAAAAGCCCCAGCTTACCTGGAACTCACTATGTAGAACAGGCTGGCCTCGAACTCACAGAGATCCGCCTGCCTCTGCCTCCCAAGTGCTGGGTTAAAGGTGTGCACCACCACACCCAGCATAATTTTTTTTTTTTTAAAGGGCACTTGCAGGCTGGAGAGATGGCTCAGTGGTTAAGGGCACTGACTGCTCTTGCAGAGGACCTGGGTTTGATTCCTAGCACCCACATGGTGGCTAACAGTCTGTAACTCCAGTTCCAGGGGAATTCAATGCTCTCCTCTGACCTCCACGGGCATTGTACAACGGGGTGCACTAACACACATGCAGGCAATACACTCATACACAAAAAATAAAAATAATAAAATATTAAAAAAAAAAAAAAAGGACACTTGCTGCTTTTAGAGAAGACTGGAGTTCAGATCCCAGCATCTCTATCAGGTGACCCACAACTGATGTGTGATCCCAGTTCCATGGGATCCAATCCCCCTCTTCTGGCCTCTGAGCCACTGCACGCATGTGGTGCACATACAGTACAAGCAGGCAGACATACATACACATATAAATTTAAACCTGGTCTACACACCAAGTTCAGGCCAGCTGGAGCTACAGAGAGACCCTGTCTCAAAAACAAAACACACACACACACACACACACACACACACACACACACACACACACCAACAAAAGGGGTTAAGTTCTGTGGAGGCACAAAGACTTAAATTGTTTGCCATTTGGGGCCACAGTTTTACTGAAGGTCAGGGCCATATATGTAATTAATTAGTACTCAGGCCAGAAGTCTGAGTCACCAATCCCTTCGGAAATTAAAAAAGTTGTGTGTGTATAATACATGTGAGTGTAAGTGTATGCATGGGAGGTCATGTACATGGAGGCCAGAAGACAACTTTTGGGAGCTGGTTCCCTTCTCATACCTTGTTATACTGAGGCAGGTCTCTTGTTTCTGCCTGCCAGAGTCCTTTGGACTAGCTGTGAGCTTCTAGCGAATTCTGTCTGTCTCTCCTCTTGCTGTAGGAGCGCTGTGATTATAGGTGTATAGGTGTGTACCACCATGTCTGCCTGCTCTCATAGTACTCTGTATGCTTAAGGCTCCAAGTAATGAAACCAGTTGCATGCTGTTTAACAGTCTTTTCCAAACGTTTCTGGTCAGAGAACCTTTAGACCCAAACTAAGGTTTCTGTGGCAACCTCAACCTACAGGATCAGGTAGCTGAAGGTCAAACTCTCCAGGACATGGCTACTTACTCTGCAACTTCAGTTTGCTCTTCCTGTCTCTGATCACACTTGGGTTCTTAGATCCATGAACTACACCACAACCCCAGGCCCGTCTGCTGTTTTTGGAGCAGGCAGTTTTCTTTTTTTTTAAATCCACCCAGCAAGCCCTACTCATTTTCCCTGTCCCAATTGAAGCATAACCGCAGCATCTGTGAAATGTCTGTGTCTCTCCCAGGCACAATAACTTGCTCCCCCCTGTGTTTCCAGTGTACTTTATTCAAACTTCATTCACTGTATTAGAAGTAATTGCTTTGAGAGCTTAACCATCCTGCTGGTTCCTTCATTAATAAGTTAAATAAATCTCTGGCATGTGCTCGCCTAAAAAAGTAATTTATTTGAAACAATCTTTTCTACTGGTTTATACATTTCTCAAGATGGCAAGGACACCATCTTTTTTTGGCTCTCCTCAGCAATGATGACTCTCACAACAGGGATTGTGTCTGTTGGATGACTTTGCTCCAAACACAGGGTAGCACCTTCTCTTTACAGTAAGTATACAATTCAAGTTTGTAAGCTCGAGGTATAATGCCAAACATGGTCAGAACTGGTTGAAAAGAGGAAGTTTAAAAAAACACATTCTATTTCCGGTGCCAGATGGATTCATTACTGCTTGTTTGTGTGCTGGACAAAGTCAGAGAGCCCAAGGAGACAGGAACCTGACTTAGTGGAAGAAGGCAAATAACTGTATTTCTTAATGTCTATCAGCACAAAACGGCAGACAAGTAAACAGAATCATAAAAAGGCTCAGAAAATGCCATGGCCAAATTCTACCCAAACACCCTCCTCTTCTACTTGAGCTGCATGGGAAGTAGCATTCTGGCCAATGCCATGTCTACCAGGAGGTGCTGCTGCAACCTGCTCATTCCAGGAGCCCTGTACAGGGACTGTTGCTCAAAAAAGTGCTCAGCACAGGAGAGAGAGCAGACACAGAGCCTGCTCATTAGACTATGCAAGTGTACAAGAGCAAGGCTCTTTTAGATCTTATATTTATCACCTCTTAGCGGCTCTGCTTCTAGCCACAGACAACTATTTGTTACTGATAAACACAGAAAGGGGGGGAACCCCCCAGGCCAACAGCTTCAAGAAGTGTAAACTGATTATATCTATTGGACACATCAAGTCTCACAGAAAAGACAGTAATAAATCTAATCCACAAGGCTCTTTTAAAAAGGCATCTATTTGGCTTTTAATAAAAAAATGACTCAGAGAAACACAGAAAGAAAATATCATACAAGTCTGTTACCGAATTAGAAATTAAAAAACAAACCCAACAAGCAAATTTCAGTTGCTATTTCATGCCTTCGGCCTAGATTAAAAACCAGGAGGCCTCAAACTAACCCAACATTTGTGGCTCTGAAGATACCTTATTGTTTTTCTTAAAGGAGAAATCAATCCTTGAAATCTGGCAGATGGTATTGGAGGCCTGTGAGAGCCTGCCTCAGTCATCCTGGTGAATGGGATCCAAGTGGCTGTTGTAATATGGTCACTACCTCCAACTGCTTGCTGATGATGGTCCTTGGAAGGGAGGTCAACCTGCCTGGGCACACTTGATGTCAGCAGTTACTCAGTCTGAGTCAAGGTCTGAGGCCTTGCAGTCTTCCATGCCATATCCTCACTGAATCTCCCCCATATACAGCCTCTTGTCACTGGACGCTGAGAGGACTGATGGAGAAAGAACAGAGCAGAGGATGAGACACTGAAGGTTTGAGGAAGCTTGGTACTCAAGGGCCCTTGTGTCAAGAGCCATTTTGACATATAAGAGCAATTGGATTTAGCTTGAATTCCCTTCCAAAACATCACCCACAGAAAACTATAGTCTGGCTTTATAGTCTAAGGCCTCTCAAAATGCTGAGGATGACTGTGCTATGGGAGACACGCTATCAGGCTTCAAATCCCAATGTTCCATTTAAGCCAAACCCCAACAAAAAGATCTTCCCAATCACTCTAGGAGCTAGGACTCAAAGTCTGTGCCAGTCACACAAATACACAATTATTTTGTTTCCCTGATATTTTTTTGGGGGGTGGGGGGAAGAATGGATGGTGCTCAAGAGGTTTCTGAGATAGGGTCTTTCCATGCAGTTCAGGCTAACCTAGAACTGCTAGATCTGGCTGGTCTCAGGTTTAGGTGATCCTTTTGCCCTGAGTGCTGGGACAAGTGTGCACCATCACACAGTTTATGTACCTGTCAGTGTTTCTGCTTGTTACATTTAGCTCTGGAGAAAGCTACTTTTCTTTAAATTTAAAGCCTATTATTTGGAACAGCTAGGCAATAAACTGTTTACAATTTATATCTAAATATTAATAAAAATCATTCTTTTCTGTAGTCCCTGCAACTCAGGAGGCTGAGGCAGGAAAATCAGCTGAACTCAGTTCAGGGCCAGCCTGAACACAAACAGCACCCTGACCCCATGCTTCTGTTATTCAAATGTAACACTGAAGCATACACTTGAAGTAAGCAAATGCAAAAGAACTAAAAATAAGCAGGCGCGGTGGCACACACCTTTAGTCCCAGCATTCGGGAAGCAGAGGCAGGTAGATGTCTGTGAGTTCCAGGCCAGCTGGGGCGACAGGGAGACCCTCTTAAAAAATTAATAAATAAAGCTGGGCGTGGTGGCGCACACCTTTAATCCCAGCACTTGGGAGGCAGAGGCAGATGGATCTCTGTGAGTTCAAGGCCAGCCTGGTCTACATGGTGAGTTCCAGGACAGCTGGGGCTACAGAGAGACCCTGTCTCAAAAAGAAAAAAAGAAATAAATAAAACAAAAACAAAAACCAAACAAAACAAAAGAACTAAACACAGCCTAGCTAATTTTCCCTTTGAGAGAGGGGAAGAAGTAGAACTGACTGACCTCCACCACCTACGACACATACACATAACTAAAAATAAAACAGGGACTGGAGAGATGATTCTGCTTAAGAGCACTGGCAGCTCTCGCAGAGGACTCAGGTTCAGTTCCCAGCATCCACATGGTGGCTAACAACCATCTTTAACTCCAGTTCCAGGGATTCAACACCCTCTTCAAAGGCACTACACCACATGGGTGTAATTACGTACACGCAGGCAATGCACTCATACACATAAAAATAATAAATAGCAAGGCATGGTGGGGTACACCTTTAATCTCAGCAATGGGGATGCAGAGGCAGGCAGATCTCTGTGAGTTCAAAGCCAGACTGGTCTACATATTGAGTTCCAGGCCAGCCAGGGCTACATGATGAGATCCTGTCTCAAAAACAAACTATATAT